GGGCAGCATGGTGGCGCAACTGGTAGAGTTGCTGCCTCTCAGCGAGCAGGTCCTTTGTTCAAACCCCGGTCCAGGGGCCTTTCTGGGTTGAGTTTGCATGTTCTCTCCATGCATGCGTGGGTTTTCTCCGGGTACTCCGGTTTCCTCCCACAGACCAAAAACATGCATGTTAGGCTGATTGGTAACTCTAAATTGTCCCTAGGTGTGAGTGAGAGAGTGAATGGTTGTTTGTCTCATTTGTCTCTATGTGGCCCTGTGATGGACCTGTGACCCGTCCAGGGTGTACCCCGCCCCTCGCACAGTGATTGCTGGACATTGGCACCGGCGACCTCCGTGACCCAAAATGGAATAAGCGGGTAAAGATAATGGATGGATGGATGGATGGATGGATATATGTATATAAATACTAAAATAGATATAACATCCCTACTTTGCAGATTTTCACCTATCGCGGGGGTGTCTCTAACATAACCCCCGTGACAAGTGAGGGACTACTGTACTGCAGTATTCCTTATTTAGTTTTACGAGGAACCAGGTTTTCTTGTAATCTTTTAAATTAAAGTGGACTTGATCAGCAATTCTTTCTGAAGATATGCCAACATTTTTAAACTTTGATGATTTTTCATTCATTTTTGTTCCAGTATGTAACCATTTTTAAACCATGGAGTGCTATGGATTAAGGCCACTTTCAAAGATTACCACAGTAAAACAAGAAGGATTTAGGGGTTGCTCCATACCTTTACATAGTACTGCATCTTCTGTTATTAATCTGAAGTTCTTGTTCGTGTCTCATCGGGCCTCTCTGTCTGTGTCGCTGCTGGTGACAGTCGTGTCAGAGGAGTACCGGGTGACGGTGAAGGAGAGTTATTGTGTCCTGGAGGAACTGGAGCCAGACAAGACATACAAGGCGTGGGTGATGGCCGTCAACTATACTGGTTGTTCTCTGCCCAGTGAGAAACTCCTCTTCAGAACAGGTCAGCCCACTCCCTGGAGCTTAACCTCCAACAATGTGGCATTAAAAAAAAAAAATCAGATGAAACTAAAGCTTTTTCTTTTCTTTCGCATGCTGCAAAGAGTTTAAAGTTGTGATTAATGGGTGACGCGTGTCTTTGTATCAGCTCCGTCGGTGCCAGTGATCGACACGGAGCGCTGCACCGTCCTGTGGGATTCTGCCACGCTGAGGTGGAGCCCAGCTCAACAGAGTCCCGGACAGAGTTACACTCTGGAGTACTGCCGGCAGTATGAGCTGGAAGGAGAAGGGCTCCGGTGGGTGAAGGACGACGTCTTTAGTTTTATTTTCTGATGCTGATCACTCAGCTTTACAGACTTGATGCCAAATCTCCATCTGAAATAGAAAAAAAAAGCAGTAAAATGACACATTTTCTTGTCACTGAAGTATTTATACGTTTCTAGATCAATCTCAGGAATCAAAGTTTGCGAACAAAGAGTTCTCCTGCAACCCAATGAGAATTACCTGTTTTACCTGAAAGCTGTGAATGCAGCAGGAGTCAGTGAGCAAAGTGAGGCTGCGCTCGTTTCTACAAGAGGTAAAGACGCAGTAATGTCCTGTCTATATTTATGTAAGTGTGTTTAACTGTTGTAGTCTCCCAAGTTTAAAAGGGCATCCTCATCTGACGTTAGCCTGCGCATACGGCTATAACTGTCAGTTTTACAGATAAGCTAAAATTTGTCGTGTTAGTAGCTGAGAGTTATTCTCAACCTACAGTCTGAGCACTTTCACATCCTGCGAGATTTCACAGTACTGCTTGAGCCTGCACATAAAGCTATGTGAAAGGTTAGACCAAAACAGCTATAATTCTGTCCCTCCTCCACATAAGATGAGTTTAGTTTAAATCTCAGATATAAAAGGTGATGTTATTCCTTTCTGGAATGATCGGCCTTTAATTTTGTCTTTTCTCGCTGTTTTTAGGGACGAGATTTCACCTGCTGAAAGCTTCAGCTCATCCCGCTTTGAAGCTGTCAGACGACCAGACCACCCTGCACTTCTCCCAGGATGCTCACAAAACCACAGGAAAAGAGTACGTTTAACCCAGTAACTGTCACGGTTTTAAGGGCGGACCCAAGAATGCAGGCCGACACAAGTCAGATTTATTTATAAAGCACATTTAAAATAGCAGCAGTTACCAAAGTGCTTAACAATAAAATCAGCATCAAGGAAAAATAAGAAGATATAATTAAAAGCATCAAAACATGAAGAACATCAGAAGCAGTGAGTGAAGTGGTCTGTCTAATGTTGGGGGGGGGGGGGGGGGGGATGGGGTGTTTCAAAGTTTAGGGCCCATGACTGAAAAAGTCCGATCTCTTGAGCTTCAGCCTGTTTTTTGGTACAACCAAAGCAGCTGGTCAGATGATCTCAGTGCCCGAGAAGGAACATGTGGTTGAAGTAGGTCAGAGGGGTATGAGGATGGAAGGCCAGGGCAAGATGTTAGGATAATTTTAATATTATCCTTGTAATAGCTCTTTAAATAAATATGCCACACAGGAGAGGTAGATAATTTTCTTAATCCCAGGTTTAATCTTGCAAGATGAAACAGAGGTTGAAATACAAGCAGGCAAGATGTTTGACGCTTCGTCTCCAAGTCTGTTCATGAGAGCCTAAAAGAGAGTCTTTTTATAATGTTATCAGTCAGACCCGAGGTCAGACAACTCCTGCTTCCTTTTTGCTTAGGCTTGAGTGTTAGGAGTGAAAGGCTCCATGCCTCTGCCTCCACTCTGTCCAGACAAAGCACTCTTTAACACACACATGGTAATATGAGTTATAGCATTTGACTTTAGTAAGTGAAAACATCTGTGACCTTTCACATCTCCATCAGGAGATCTGACTGACCCCAGCACAGAGCGTGTTACAGTCCAGTCAGGTAGTAATAAAAGCATGGACTAGTTTTTCAAGGTCAGATCTGGACAACTCTGACTTTAGCTTAACTTTCTGCCTTAACTGGAAGAAGCTTCTCTGCAGAACAGATTTGGTTTGTTTATTAAACTTAAAGTCGGTGTCTAAAACCATCCCGACATTTTTAACAGACTGGTCAAGATGTGGCTGAAGAGAGTCCAGGTTTACAGGATCAGAGACAGCAGCAGAGCTAGGGCTAAACTCAATGACTTCAGCTTTTTGACCATTGAAACTTAAAAAAAAGGAAACCATCCACACCTTAAAATCATCATCAACAAGGAACTCTAAGAAATGTATTTTAAAACAAAAAATGCTGTTGATGACTCGGGACCGGACATCGTCAAAGTCAGTCAGAGATTCTTTATTGTCATTCCACCACGTGTGGTACATGTAGTGGAACGAAATTATGTACACAGAGTCCCAGTTGCATCCAACAATAAAATGTAAAAGAAAAACAGTAATAAGATCTAAGATATGAACTAAGACAAACATCAACTAAATATACACTAAGCACTAATAGCATAAAAACAATAAACACAATATGCCGATTGTGTGATGCTCAGCAAGTGAGCAGTGAGAAACACAAGGATTATATGGACAGAATCTGAACGAGAAGATGGAAAACAGCTGAGCTTAATGAGATGGGGGGGCAGGTGTGAGAGGGAGTGGCAGGACTGAGTAGCAGAGACTAACTGGGAACAATACTGAGAGTGGCTGGGAACACAGGGTGGATAAACTAAACAAAAAGAAAGTGCAGAAATTAACGACCAGGACCGATAAACACGAAAACGAGCTTCAGAACAGAAACAGATCATGGAGCAGTGAGTAAACATTTAAAACTGTTTTCTAGGTGTCCATCCATCCTGGGGGAGTTGCTGCCTCCTCAAGGGCTCCATTACTGGGAGACTGTGGTGTCTGGATGTCCAGCCTACAGGCTCGGAGTAACGTGCACGGCAGCCAATAGAAGCAGCTCACTTGGGGAAAATGGCACGTCATGGTGTTTGCAGTGCACCCCCACCCCATCAGGGTAAGCTCGGTGACCTATTTGAGAAGTCACTTCAGTTCGTGTTTTAATCCTCCTCCATTTATGCAGCTGTAGGTTTCAGTTACTCCACAGTGACGTTCAGTCCAGCGTGCTCGTGACTGAGACGCCTGAGCGAGTGGGCGTCCTCTTGGACCATCATCTTGGTCGTCTGTCCTTCTACAATCCCCACAGCGGACAGTTGTTAGGGACGTTCAGGGAGCGTTTCAGCCAGCCCTGCCATCCTGTGCTGGCCCTGGAGCAGCCGGGCAGCCTGCAGCTGTGCACGGCGCTGGAGGTACCAGAGTTTACCAAAGATGCCTAAAACTCTGCTGCATGCACTGTTTAAACACAATCCTTAAAAAATAGAAATATTCTGCTGCCTAAGGCACCATAAACATCTGGAAAATAACCATGTTGTAAAAAATAATTAAAGTACTGTTTTAAGCTTTAATTTAACATGCAATATTTATTTTTGGCCCCAATTTCAACAACTAAGTTATTTTTTTTTTAACATGTAATGACAAAATTACAAAAATACAAGATTCAAATTGTTAGAATACAAAAAATAGGTCCAAAATCACAAACATTTAAGTTAATTAATATTTTTTAGTTTTTGAAATTTAAATGAAAACATTTAAACTTGCTGTACGGTAATAAAATATGATAGTTATGGCTATGATGATAACAAGATCATTATCATATGATGATGAGTTACTGTTTGAAAAAAAGGTAAACATGATAAAAATGGTTTCATTTTGAAAACAACAACACTTTCCATACCTGCTGAGTCGTTTATGAAGGGTTTGTTTATCTGAGCAAAAAATACATTGAAAGGTTTGAAACTAATAAAAATACAATTATGGTGTGAAAATGTCTGCATTTAAAAATATATCCATTTATCAATAATTAAATCTGTGTAAAATGACAGAAATACAGTAATTCCCCTTTTTACATCTAATGTATCACTGATTTTATGTAACTTCATATTTGTACATAAAGGAATAAACTTGAATTTATTATTTTATTATTAAAACTAAGAGGAAATTTTGGAAGAATCACAAAGTTTTTGATATTTCTTTTATGTCAATTAAAGAAAATTGTAAAAAAAAAAAAGACATTTATTTATAGTTACCATTTTACCCCACGTATTTTACACAAGAAATATACAGATGTAATTAAAAATTAAGAAACTATCAGAACAGAAATAAATATGTGAATAAATAAGTATAATTTACAAGTTTAGTATAAAACCCTAATAATTTTTACAGTGTGTCTCATTAAATCAACATGTTTTTCATGGAGACAATATTTGTGTTCATTTACAACAAAAGGCCTTGATCAGTGGAAATTTGAAAAAATCTTTCCTCAGAAACAAATACCTTGATTTTTCTTGCTGCATTTAGTAAAAGAAATAGTAATAATAATTAAAAAAAAATGGATATTTGTCCTAAAATGTGCAAGTGGGTGTTTTACATGCTTTGGATGACTTTTGTAGTTTTGACTAAAATATTTATTTGTTATTTATGTGAAAGTTTTGTACCATTTTGTTTGTATTCCTGTTTTTAGGTGGTCTTATCTGACAGAAACTGTCAGAACAAAACGTCATCCTCTGTACATTCAGTAAGGGTTAGTTCAGGTCTTTTATGGGTGGAGTTTAAACGGCACGTTTATCTTTTAAACTGTGTTTCATATTGTGAATTTATGTAAATACCTTTTTAAACAGAAGTGATCTGTTTCCTGCTACTGATGTTTTCACTGTTATTGCTTTGATTATGTCTAAAATTAGGATTATTTTTCTATTTGCACAAATAGATTTTGTTTGTTGTGATTCATTATCCATCCTCCACCAGAGGGCCTCAGCTCTCCATCAGCTGTAAAACTGGTCCCAGTGTGCGTCACTTTACTGGAATTCTGTATAAAAATGCTCATTATGATCAGACCGTCATCTAAACTAGTGAATCACTGAAATAAACTGAACCTAAAAACAGTTTTTCAAAGACTTTGTTGGTTTTTATTAGCTGTAAAGCTCTCTGTGACGTTTATTTCACCCAACAAATTATGATGCAATACAGGACTTTAAATCTAAAAGTCAAATATGAAGAAAACATTGTGAACAAAAAGTATTTTGTGTTAAAAATAGATGCGTTTTTGTCATAGTACTTCAAACTTTAACATAAAAAGGCTTTTAAACATCAGTGGGTTCCACCCACTGTCATGGTTTAAGCTCCATTTTCCCAGAGAACGTGCCATTTCCAGTTATTTCACAGATATTTTCCAGGCAGTCACCTTTTCTCCTGTTTGGAGGAAAACAAAATGTGAGACATTTGGAGGGCACACACAAAACCCACCAGGGAGCAGTTTCTGGCCTCCATGTGAGGAGTTGGACTGTGAAGCTGCAGCCTGAAGGAAAACTCTTTAAAAAATTAAGTCATAGCCTGATTTTTTCTTTTCCATCTTTCTGCGAGAGGAACATTTTGTTGTTGTAGCTTAAAGAAGGAAGTAACTGTTTTCTTACAGCAGGTTTACATGCACAGTACACTTTACTCCTGCAGATTATATATTTTTTTCCAGTTTTCAGAGTCAAAGTGTTAGCCTTTTAAATGTTATTTGTCTATCTGCAAGGTTATCAGTAATATAGAAGTGACTGTTCATTACAGATTCAACTGTGCTTTATTTGTTAGTACAAAAGCATAAAAGCCAAAAATTCAAGACTTCTATTTTGCCCATTATCCAAACAAAAGGTTTGAACTGTCAGAAGGTCAAAGAAGAAACAGAAAAGCTTCCAGCAAGAACAACAAACCACCCAAAAACATTTTGATGTACCGTATTTTTCGTTGTGTAAGTCACACTTTTTGCATAAATTTGCATATTTATAACCCAATTTTTGGCTGAGATTTGACGATTTCATTCATTCTGACATGACAAATATTGAACTTGGGGGAGTGGTGGCGCAGAGGATAGAGAAGGTGGGCCTGTGATCGGAAGATTGCCGGTTCAAGCCCCGGTACCGACAACATCAAAAATGTGGGTGGGGTACGTGAAGCACCCACACCTGCCCACACCCTGGGCCCATGAGCAAGGCCCTTAACCCCTGTCTGCTCCTTAAAACAGGTCTCTCTTGAAAATGAGTTCTAGTGGCTCAATGAGACTACCTGGATAAATAAAGGGGAAATGAAAAAAAAAGAACACCGCCATTTTCAGCCGCTATATATGGGCCCTCGAGTAGTATGGCAAGCCAATTCTCTCATTAATAGGTAAACGTTGCTATTAATGAGACTCTTGGCTTGCCATACAGAGCCACCTTCGTCTTGCTCCAGAACTCCTGGAACAAAAGTCAAATCAGATTTGATCATTAAACTGCATTTATTAAGGAAAAGTTCAACTGAGACCCACCTTTACTATAATGTCGAGCAAACAAATAATTGTTTTTAAGTGTTAATTTTCTTAGATTCTTGTTTAAGTCCTCCCGTGCACGCTCCCGCGGCTGCCATTTGGCAGCCAATTGATTTTTGGCACAACACCGGCCCTTGTTTTCAGGTGGTCAGCGGTGATGCATAACAAACGCGAAGCGTCAATGACGACACATAATAAATGCGACTTATACGACGAAGCGACTTATTTGCGGTTTTTTTTTCCACTTTATTAGACAAATTTGGACTGATGCGACGTGCACGGTGGCAAGTACGGTACAAGCCCAATTCTGTAAACGTCGGGATGTTGTGTAAAATGTACTCTGAAACAGTTTACAACTCTCACAAACTATGTTCACAGAGGATCAGAGTAAGCACGTCAAAAGGTTAAACTAAGAATAAAATAATAATGAATTAGGAAAACGAGGGGGCAGCACGGTGGCGCAACTGGTAGAGCTGCTGCCTCTCAGCGAGCAGGTCCCTGGTTCAAACCCCGGTCCAGGGGCCTTTCTGGGTGGAGTTTGCATGTTCTCTCCGTGCATGCGTGGGTTTTCTCCGGGTACTCCGGTTTCCTCCCACAGTCCAAAAACATGCATGTTAGGCTGATTGGTAACTCTAAATTGTCCCTAGGTGTGAGTGAGAGAGTGAATGTTTGTTTGTCTCTATGTGGCCCTGCGATGGACTTGCGACCCATCCAGGGTTTACCCCGCCCCCCGCACAGTGATTGCACAGTGATTGCTGGACATGGGCACCAGCGACCCCCGTGACCCAAAATGGAACAAACGGGTAAAGATAATGGATGGATGGATAGGAAAACGAGGTAATTTTTTATTTGATGGCAGCAACACATCAAAAAGTTGAGATGTGTTTCCCACTGTGGAGCATCTCCTCCTCTTTTACCATCTGTGAACACCAGGGACTGAAGAAACCGCTGGACACTTGGGAGGAAAATGTTCCATATCCTCTGTTTTCTGTTTTCAGCCCTGAGTCCTCTTTGTGATTTTTTTTTGTTTCATGACGCACCAAATGTTTTTATTGGTCTGAGGTCTGGACAGTCTTCTATTAGAACCCTTCTATGCTGAAATATGCAAGACCTTCTCTGAAGAAGATGTCTGCATGGCATATTATGTTGTAAGATCTGTTTACACTTTTCTGCACTGATGGTGCCTTTTCAGATATGTAAGCTCCCCATGCCAGAGGCTCTAATGCACCTCCATACCATCAGGAAGACTTGAACTGTTCACTGACGACAGGCTGTATGGTCCCTCTCTTCAGTACAGAGGATGTGCTGTCTGTGGTTCTCAAACGGATTTAAAATTTTGATTCATCTGACCACAGAACAGTTTTCCACCTGACCTCAGTCCATTTTGAACAAGCGTTGGCCCAGAGAAGACGGCAGATTTTCTGGGCCATGCTCACACATGGCTTTTTTGTTTTTTTGTTGCATGATAGAGCTTTAACTAGCATTTGAAGGAGGCACAGCAAAATGTTTACAGTGGTGGGTGGAAATGTTCCTGAGACCATGCAGTTGTGCCCAGAACAGAATCAGACCTGCTCTTTTGCAGCGCCACCTAAAGGCCAGAAGATGACAAGCATCAAAAATGGACTTCAACCTTGCCCTGTGCAGATTTCTCCAGACTCTTAAAATGTGTTATTATAAATTGTAGATTCAGCCTTTCACATTTTCTGTTAAGGAACAACCTGAATGTTTCAGCCTCTCTAAACTACTTTTTATTCTCAGTCCTCATACTGACCTGTTGCCAATTCACGTATCTAAATGCTCCTCCAGCTGTTTCTAATTTGTATCACTTTTACAGCATTTTTCCCCACAGTCCTCTTTAGAGATGTGTCAGGGCTCTAAAATTCATAAAACCTGTACAGTTTTTTGTTTTAAACACTTGATGTTTACTCTATTGTGAATAAAATATGGCTTTATAAGATTTGCAAATCATTGCAATCTGTTTACATTTTACATGACGTCCCAAGTTTTATTTTTTTAAATTGGGGTAGTGTGCAATAATAATAATAAAAAACCTAAAACTATTTTTGAAGCTGTTGTCTAATTTCATAACATGTTTAAGAAGATATCGCTCCTTCACACCTGGAACCATCAGAATGTGACACTTCACTCCTCAGGCAACAAGCCTGTTAAATAACACAAAAACAAGAGAAACGCTTTCATTTCAACATATATATTTTAATATACACAAAATGACTAAATTGCTACAGCTCACAGGCACGTTTGGAAATGTCATGGATTTGCTTTGAGAAAATACAAAAAATAAATACATTACCAGTGTGAAATCGTATTATTTTTTAAAACAAAGACAGCTCTCTGATTGTTAACAGATAATAAAGAGGACTAAAATAATTTGACATGAATACAAGCTGCCAAGAACACAGCTGGCATTCTGACACTTGTACAGATGTTTCAGCAGCCATGAACAAACACTAACCACTCAAACGGATCCGAACGTGTCTTTTTTTAAAAGATGATGGGCAACAAGCACAAAGAGGGAACGCATAACTGATGGGAGTTTTGAACACTCACTTAAGAGTCGTCACTAAAGACACAATAACTGAAAGAATCACTTGGAATAGACTGAATTAGTTGACCCATAAAACACCAGAATATAGAACTAAACAGTGATCCCACTAAAAAATAAAAACATCAAAAAGTAGCTGATTTGACGGTCCCAAATACCACCTCTGTTTCAATAATAGCAGTTTCAATAAAATAACACAGGCACAGCAAATAATACACAACATGGCAGAATAACCACATGTGGAATAAATGTGCAAAACCAAGGCAACAACTGGTAATGTTACAAAATACCTCCAACTCAAAGACATCAGGTTGAGTCCACAGGAAAACTCGAAAACATGAAATAATCTAAATTATTATGCAGAAATCTAATATAAAGTGCGAAGTTCTTCCAATAACTAGTGAAATGTAGCTAAATGTTTGAGTCAGCTGATCTGCCTATGTGGAGGAAATGTATCACGCTGGTTATAATTCTATTTAACGACAAGCTGAACACTAAGGTGGAGATGAGCGAAGAAAAAAGAATAAAAAGTTAACTGGGTCCCTGTCACGAGCTTGACTGCAGACAGACTTTACACTAATGCAAAGAACTTCAAGGATGTTTTACAGTGAATGCAAGAACTTGTGCTCATCTTAAAAAGATCTTTCGTAGTCAAATACAGAAAACAAGTAGATTTACTTTAAAGCAACACAGCTCAGACATGCTCTGATGTGATCGCGAGAGACAAACTCAAACAGAAAGTATAGAAATCTTTAAAGCATGAGTAAAAGATTCAAAGCATAAAGTGAACTACTCATTTCCCTGCTGGACTCATTTCCTTCGCCGTCCCTTTGAACTTGTTTTTGTCACGGAGCACCGCTTCACAGCGTTCCAGCCGTCACCACATACATGCACATCCTCCTTTATAAACACATTACACATGCACTTTTTCTTCCCCCTCGGACGAACATCTTTAAACTCTATCATCATTGTAGTAAAATAGTCTCCTTTAATTATATAAGTTATACTCCTGTTAATAAAATAGTGAGTTTCCATTTGAGTCACAGTCCAGGTTGACTAGATTTCTCCTCCTTTTCAGGATGTTCAGCTTGACTCAAAGCTTGTTTTATTTACAGGGAGCTCCTCAGTGAGTTTTAGGCAGGAGTAGAGCTCTTTGCACTGGACAGACCAGGTTTGGGGTCTGCTCTGTAGGGTTTGTGCTGTGGGCTACTGCGCAGATTATCATCCATCTACAGTAAAAAAAAGGTACACTTTAGACAGTTTCCATGTGAATGAGAAATAAATTATATTAGCAAGAACTGAGTGGCGATACCTGCTGAAAGCAACCATGAACCCATGCAAAAGAAGAGAAAGGGAAAGCAGAAGCACCTTTTCAATCAAGTTGGACTCTTTGTTTACAAGCTGTGTTAGTTTCTGCAGGTTTGCATCCACCGTTTCCTGAACAGGTGGGGGAGGACCTGGGGAGGGATGAAGGAAGGAGAAGGAGGTGGAGCAGGAGCACTGTTAGAGATAGTGTTAGTTTTTGCATTCTTCTGAGCATTAAATTTCACCCTAGGTTTGAGTTTTAATACTATCAAGCATCAAAGAGGGAGATTTTTAACGGCATGCAGGAATCTTACAAGGCTGATCTGAACTGAAGTAAACTGCAAGGATGTTGTCACAAAAGCGCGTGAGGTTTTCCAGCTGTCTGAGGTGGCTCTGCAGAGGACTGCTGGGAAGGTCTGCTTTGTCGAGAGGTGCCACAAAACCAAACACGAAGGAATCCAGACTGGTTGGCCTTTTGTCAAAAACACACCCACGTAAGACCAAAACACTTCTACAAACATGTAAACACAAGCAAATTAAGACTGTGACATCACATGTTTATCACACAACTGAATACTTTCAACTAAACATATTTAACAGCTAGTACTTGTTTTTATTCTTTAAAGCTTTTCTGTTTTTTGATCGTCTTAATTTGTCTTGCAATATTTAAACCTTTTTTTTTCTCTCTCTATGCTCTGGTGAAGTCAGACGTGTCTCCCGGTGCTCCGTCCCCCCACTGCAATCTTTCATCTTGTGAACCCTTAAAGAGCCTCTTTTTTTCCTGCCCACCTTCCTAATTCAAAGGACTTGATCAGCTGGTCTCTCAACAAAATCGATCAACTTCTCCCGACAGGAGTCAGGGTAAGGACGACCCTCAACGGAAACAAATTGGATTCATGATGACAACTGTTTTTTTGCTGTTTGGGTTGGTGAAATCTGGATTGTCTACAAATGTGTGTGGATGTGTCGAAGCTTGGCAGCACTCAGACTGAATTATGTGGAGCTGCGTCAGAGCTGGAGCAGCTGTTATCAGGACTGTGAACTTTCTGGCAGCACCCATGAACGGTGGGAATAATCTTGGAGAAGCTGTGAGCTCAACTTTAAGGAATCAGTTCGGCTGTTTGGAGTTTCCATCAGAGGAATATACCAGCGAGACTTTAAAAAGGCAGAAACAGCAATTCACAAGTTCTGCCTGAACTAAACTGTGGCCTTGATGGCAGACTTATCTCAACTCCTCCTGGCATGATTAGAAAAAACAAAGATGCTTTGTCTGTCTCCTCACCTCCCCCTTCCCCAGGGCCATGGACATGTGACAGAACCTCAACAGAGCTGATGATGAATGACACCTCTTATCTGGACTATGCTACGACCTTCCCTTAAAATTCAATGTCTTCACCGGCCTATATGTACATGTACCACATCTATTTATATCCTGCACAGAAGATCAACATCATCAGGCCAGGACTCTGTGGTCTACACTCATCTCCAGGCCGGCGGTCACTCTTTCAGGGATGAAGATGTTCACATCCTGGACAGAGAGGAACGATGGTTTGAGAGAGGAGTAAAGGAGGCCATCTTTGTGAAAAGAAATCGTCCATCATTAAACAGGGGTGGAGGCCTCGGTGTTCCAACTGTCCCCCTCTTACAATGCTGTGATTGCTAGTATCACTCAGCCCTCTGTGAATAGTAAACAGCCATCAGTGTGCTAATGATCCATTGTTAGGCTGATGGTCCTTCTTGAGCATGTGATCAGCTGGTTTTGGTTGTCAGCAGCAAAACTGGTTGATCCACTCTGAGAAGGTGCTATTTAAGAGACTGAGCTGAATACAGCACCTCAGACTGAGGAAGTCTCTCGGATGAAAGATAAAACATTTCTACAATGTTTATTTTTTTATTTTTTTTTTTTGGAATGTCCAGAGGACCAGATTTAACTTTTTTAGATTATTCTTAATAAGAATAAGAAGGCTGCGCTTTTATAGTAGCAGCTCTGTGAACTCCGTCCATCTTTCGGACGACTGTACGTACATGTTCTCGTTGTATCTCGGTGCAATGATAATAAAGCTTATTCTGATTCTGATTAAACCTAAAGAAACAACGGAGAACTTACAAGTTGCCAAAAAAGTAGTTAGCAGTTCCCAGTCGATAGGAGAGGAGGTTCAGGCACTCTTTAGCATCACTGTAGATCTGAAGCAGAGCAGGACACATTTAAGAAAAACATGAAACTAAAACAACAGGAGTACAAATCAGACAGACAACAGGGCGACTACCTTTCCCTCCACCTCAGAGATTGTGTGTAACGGCGCCTCTCCTTTGGTTAGGAGGATGCGAGAGAGGGCGATGCTGGCGTGGTGACCTGGGACGAAAAAGTTGAGTGGGAATGGCGAGCGTGACGCAAACCACGGTCGCGTCAGATTGGAGTAGTTTTCTGCATCCACCCAGAAAGTGTGTAACTGTGGGACACAAGACAACATAATAAAATGTATTAATACATAATAATGTTTGACAGGAATAAAGTAGAGGACAGGAGGTGCTACCAGAGCTGGACGCAGTTTCTCTTCAAGCAGAGCGATGTAGGCCATCGTGTCTGCTCCTTGTCTGGCCGTCAGCTCATAATCAGCATTAAACCTCTGCAGAAATTAAATAAAAATTCACAAATGGAATGACTTTACTACAAGGCTTTGAGCTCACGCTGAAGAAGTAGAAACTCTCACCTGTTTTCTCATGAAGTTAAGAATCTGTGCAGGTTCTTGAACTACAGTGTCTCCACAGAGCAACTCTGGGACGCTCGCTGTGGACCAATGAGACACCATGACGCAGCGCAGAGTGAAACAGGCAATGCAAACAGAACCAGTATCAGCAATGCATTAACACAATAAAATATAATGCAAAATAAAAATACATAATAAAAATAATCTATATTTTTGCCAATTATGACCTCAAAAGTTTGAATAAACTATACAGAGCAAGAAAGCATCAAGGAATGAGGAATCAGTATTTATGCTATTCTCCCTTTGAGTGTTTGGATCACAGCTTTTTTTATGAACTACAAACATGTAAAGTGTATTGAAATGATGAAACACAACTCCATCAAACACACAGATTTATAAACACAATGTTTCTCTCCAAAGGAACAGTTTGTCATGATTAAATACACTCTACAAGGTGAATAAAAAAATTAGCAATTATGTTATTACAGCAGGTAAATCTTTGTCCAATTCTTTGCAATTATATTTACCATATAGATTTAATAAATGTTTACAGGTAGACTACAAAAAAAAATCTCATCTTAAGTAATCACGAACGTAGGATTAAGTTTGTAGTTTATGACACGCTGCAGCCCACCTGTTATAGTTTTCCATGTCCAGTCTATAGGAGAAACTGAGACTTTTGCTCCAGAAAATCTGGCGTATGCCTAAAAAAAAAGAAACAAATAAATTAAAATACTGATCATCACCAAAAAATACACACAGCTGTTAGGGAATACAGAATGAAAGGTAAGTAAATTTAAAATTCAAAGGTAATTTAAAAACACAAAGTATGAACATGGTTGGTGCTTGACGCCAAAAGAAATGCAGGTAATGTTTTTGCCTGTGACGGTCTGTTAGCAAAATATCACATGAGTAACTTATTAGATTTTAATGACGTCATTATTGAATGTACATCTCCAACTGATAGGGGTTCAAGATGGCCACCACAGCCAACTGAGCTTGGAAAACACAAAAACATTTACAATTCAGCCAGTTTTAAAGACAATGAGCTCAAATTTTGAGTGGTAACAGAAAGCCTCCCACAGCATACTTTGAGTGTATAATCTTATTTTCAAGGGTTAACTAAAATGACTACAACACCGTCAGTTCTCATCACAATACGATTTTAGTTAAAAACTTTGGCATGAAACGTGGTAAGCAATGTGCATTCTTTCAATGAAAGTTGGATCTTTAGTTCGTACAACACTAAATTTATTTTAAGTGAATTTAAGATTTTCAATTTTTGCACTGTAGTTAAATGACTACAATTTAAGTATAACAAGCAGAAATGTGTCACTGACTGTAAATTAACAATAAAAACTGTTGCAGATTTCCTGCTTTGTCAGGCGAGCACATACAGCGGTCCGTTAGTCAATAAAAATAAATCAAAACAAATCATTACATCGGATTTAATAAAACTGGGAGAAAAAAAGTTTAACTGATTCTTCCATTTAACAATTGCAGCCTATAAGCAAACATGTTGTTTATTTAATTTCTTACTACAGTTTTGCAAGGTTTATAGACTGCCTTCCACTCAAAGTCCTCACAATGGGCTATGGCCCTATTTTAAATTAGAAAAAGCGCCCCCTAGAGGCCACAGTTATTCCTACATGCGCCATCCAACATGATGATCATGAGAAAGAAAACTCAGGTTAGTTTTAGGCAGTATTAACTCGGTCAGAGCCAGTAGTTCCTTAACGAAACAGCTTCAATTAAACCAAAAAGCAAGAAAACCAGCAGCTTTAGTTTAGCTGACCTTGGAGGATCACTGTTTTTTTTAAAGGCAAGAATATTCTTTCATATTCATTTAAACCATTTCCAGGCGTGGCAGTTCTTATCCCGCAGCTGCGACATTAAACTCAACCCTAAACAACATTTTCTTTCCAACACACGTACAGAAATACAAGTTAGCGAGCTGAGTTAGCATGGAAGCTAACGAGAAGAAACAACAACTCAGAAACAAACCCGGGTCGTTAAACTCAGCTCTGGACACAAAGACGACGGTTTGTTTTTTTCCCGAGCAAACAAAATTGTTTTTTTTTTTTTTTTATTTTTACCAGAACTATGAGGGAGTCGGTGTGGACAGAAGGCAAACCCCAATCTCCTCCCCAACATCTCAGCTCCATGGCAGCAGCCATGTTCTGATTCATACACAGTGACGTCACAGCTGTCATATCAGAGCCTGCGCGCGCAGCAGCGGCAGGTGTGTGGGAAAAACAAAACAATGAGGGACGTTCATCACTGTGGTACTGTACTCATTGAGCAAGATCAATTCTTCAAACTTTAGCTTTGAATATTGTTAGCTCTGCTTGTCTGTTAGCAAAATATATCCTAAAACATTGGATGTAATGAAACATTAAGGAAGCAATATTTGGATACATCTACAGCTGAATATGTTTTAGAATCTATACAGTTAAAGATGGCAGCCAAAGCTAATTAATATTAGTCAACACTTAAATGGAAATACTTCAGATATTTTACAGATATTGAGCTAAAATTTGTTGTGGGAGTAGCTGAGTCATTCACAACACATACTCTGAGCTTATCATCTCACAATGAACATTGTGTATACAGTAGAAGTATTTATAAATGGCTACAACGCCTTCATTTCTCACCATCAAATGATTTAAGTTTAAACGATTGGATAAATGTGTTCCTTCCCATTTTAGATATGAAGCATTTGTTTTTAATGTAACTTTAAAACAAAACTGTATTTGTGCATTTGTGTAATTTTATAGTTTTAAATGGAAATAATCAGAAAATTGTCTATTGTACATAAATAGTTTTTTAATAAAGCATAACTTAACACAACATTATTATATATATATATATATATATATATATATATA